ATTACAGGTTTTTTTTTGTGCTGGTTATTTTTGTCTTCATATTGTATTCTATGCCAGATTTCTCTTTATGAAAGGCTTCTTGATCTCTAGAGACTGTAGAGTTAAAATATAATCTGATAAATTGCTGGTTAGCACCAGGGCCTAGTGTAGAGACTGTCCTGCAGTTCAGCAGCAGTTTGTTCTATTGAAGTGTCTTCGAGCTAGACACCTGTTCATTCGCATCTTTATGTGAACATCAGCTGGATGGATGCAGAAAAAGTAAACGCACCCTCCCCCTGCTGCATCCAGCAGCTGTTTTTCTTCCTGGGGACCATTCACTTATATGAACACACCAGAGTATTTGTTCCGCTCCAGAGGGATTTAGCTCTGTCTATTGGTATTAAAAATAAATCTCTTCTTGTATTGCCACTACATTATTACATTCTGCCTGTGAGGCTCTGTATCACTTCCCTAATAATATCATGCTAATGAGTATGAAACTCCCAGAGCACACCGCTCAACCTCGGGAACATTAAATCTGACCGAGATGATCGGTGTACCAGCCATAGGTTGAGGCAACAAAGCATCAGCACCCCACTGCGAGACCAGGAAAGCAGCACTGCAGAGAACAGATTACAAGGTGTTTTCCAGCAGGTCTGTCTCCACCTCCAGTATTAATCTTAGTATTAACCTCCAGTAGCATGCACAGGGGCCTCCAGGTGCATCAGTGACTGAAGATTAACCATAGCCCTTGTTTGATAAACCTCTTCTTGACCTTGTATTCTGTGCCACCAAAGGGATTATCACTCACTGAATCCAGTTAAAATAAAGGGAGTTTATGCCCTGAGGCAGATCTGCTAGGCTGCTGGCTTTAGCCTTAAGGAGCTATGTGTTTTACAGTTTCTACAGCAGAGAGAAATTAACGTAAACCATCCACATGTAGACCTGCTAAACATCTCCTGTGATGCCTACAGTGCTCCACTGGGGGATATTCTCTATTGTTCAAGCACTGTCAGCCAGATGGCATCCATCAGTCATAAACTGGATGTGATTACAAAGGTAGTCGTCAGTTTTTATTGCCCTAGATTGTGCCTAGAATAATTACATTCTGTATGCAAGCGATACCCAGATGGTTAGTGCACTAAACCTCTGCAGTTATATTTATTAAGGCTTTAATGCATGGTTTATATTTTTTGTCAATTGAGTCCTGGGGCCTGGGTGGTGTTTTACAGTTTCTGTAAAAACATCCATAATTCAGCTAAAGCTGCACCAAACAGGTTTTGAGAGGTCTAAAAAGTAAGCAGAAATGACAACAACATAATGTATGTGCTGTAAAAAGTAGAAATCACACTTGATGACTCAATAATGCTGTACCGAAGGACACCAACAATGACAGGGAAGCAAAATATCTAGACATTATTAAGTTCAGCTTTTCTTGGACAGAGTCCTCACTGACTAGAGGACAGATCAAATTTCAGCTTTAAATTTTAAACTGTTGCCAGAAATAAATAAACCTTTTTGTGGTAGGGCCACCACACTTGACTCATAATAATATACTGTAGTTCAATAATTTTTTTTTTTTGAAAGGGTGGCTTTTCAGGAGGCTGAAGAAGCTGTGAGTGAAAGCACCCATTTATTTATTTTATTTCTATACAAATATCCACTTGAATTCAAGGATAGTCTAATTAGATTTTGGAGGGCAAAGGTCAAGGTCAGTGTAAGCTCCATTCCAATGAATTTGAATAGTTGACAGAGGCATGAAAACCACAAAGCGATATACTGTATTCTAGTTTGCCATGGGTTAGATTCAGAGTGGTTTCTGAGGGCTGAATCTACTGCTGTATTGTGTTTTAGTTCATGTGTAAAGCGTTCCCAGCAGTGTTACTCTACAGCCCAGCTATGTGTTTTTGTTGTCTACTGTAGGTGTCCAGACAGCCCTCGCCCCAACACAGTGAGACCCTGTCAGCTGCCCTGCAAGAAAGACTGTATTGTGACATTCAGCGACTGGACACTATGCCCTGTTACTTGTGATGCAGGTACAGTAAAAAAAGAATTAATCCCCCACAGAAAGATGACCCAGCTGTGAAACACATCACTGAAAATTAATCGTAGTTATAATACTTTCAGGTTTTTATTTCTCTTTTTGAAATGTACTACCAATTTAATTTGACTTTTGTTTAATTTTACATAGTTTTATGTTTTGCCATGGTAGTATTACCCACTTTAGAAAACTGTGTTTATGGCAAGGCTTTCTAACACTTGGTATCATAGCTTCAGGTCACACTAGTGAACTATAATATGATAGGTAGGTAAGTAGGTAGAACTTTATTGATCCCACAGTGGGGAAATTCCATGATAATTCACAGAAATAATCAAATAAGCTTGTAGTGCTATGACTCTAGTCCAGTCTAGAATTATACACAGAAGCAAGTTTAAATTCACTGTTTGGAGAAAATGCCAGACACACCAACTACCACATAAACATGTGCACTCAAATCTCCATCCATCCATTCATCCATTATTTATACTGCTCATCCTTATGAGGGTCGCGGGGGTGCTGGAGCCAATCCCAGCTGACATTGGGCAAGAGACAGAGTACACCCTGGACAGGCCACCAGTTTATCACAGGGCTGACATGTAAACAACCACACACACCCACACTCACTCCTATGGGCAGTTTAGAGTCACCAGTCAAGCTAAGCAGCATGTCTTTGGACTGTGGGAGGAAGCCGGAGTACCCACAGAGAACACACACAGGCACAGGGAGAACATGCAAACTCCACACAGAAAAGGCCTCGGGTCATCCGGGCTCAAACCCAGAACCTTTTTGCTGTGAGGTGACAGCACTAATCACTGCTCCACCAGGCCGTCTGCACTCAGATCTCACTACACATAATTAATTTGACAGACTGACATGTGAGGCAATCTTTGGACCGACCTCTTTTCGTGCTCCTGGGCAGCTGACTTGATCATGGCTACAACTGTCAGCAAGTGCATGTCATTATTGTTGTTTTCATGCTGTGAAAGAAAAACACTGTTCAGATGAGGTCACCTTTGTCAGGCAGACACTGCCCGAGTCTTTGAGCAGAGGCAAACCCATTATATTGATTTACAGCTGAAAATCATTATCGCCCATATTTTGATAACCTCCTCATGTGACACTGTGGCATAAATCTCTTCATTCTGAGCGTGCTGCCCCAGCGGCTGTGAATTTTAATGTGATGCTGTTGATATCTTCACCTTGTGCAGAGAATTACACACCACCCACATGCAACAGTTAAAGCCAGGTTCAGAACCACCCCGAGACTTGATTTATCCTAATGAACTACTCGAGTGCATCTCCACACATGTATATATATCATAAATTAAAGTTGAGTCAAATTCAGAGTCTAACAGGATTTTTCTACATCATTGTTATTGTCTTGATATCCCAAATAATCAGATGTGCATGTTGTCAACAATAGCTGCCCAATTAGATTTGGCAGTAGGAGTCCATTCTTCACGGGCTATTAACAGAGCAGTCTAGCTTATCGTTTTCACATTTTTCTCATCACTTTCCCATGCAGACATTTTTTATTTTAGTTCCATAATTGTCTGTGTCTATTCAGCTGGTAATGCTGTGAAGAGAAAGCAATCAAGGAAGCGTCTTGTCATCCAGCTGCCGTCCAATGGAGGACAGGACTGTCCAGAAGTGCTGGAGGAGGAGAGGGACTGTGAGGTTCCCAAAGTCTGTCCAGGTTTCAGGTAAAAGCTCTATAGTGATCCCATAATGCTGCTCTCTAATAAATTTTGAAGACCATATTGCTTAGCTGTTTCTGCCCTGGACCCTATCCTCCTATCTGTCTCATAAAGCAAATGATTCTGGTGAAATCTCATCAGTTGCCTTATTTCAGACCTACTAATGTCTTTTGCCCGGGTGGTGAGAGAAGAACTCCAAAACTCAAAACCAAAGCTGAACTTTAAAGGCACAAGTTCCTTTGTTCCGTAATGAATTTAATTTCTTTGTTAAAAAAGTAAACATGACATGAATACACACCTGTATCAGTCAGATTTCTGTCCTCACACCTCTTAGAGAGATGCACACACAACTATAAAAGGTTACTATAGGCTATTGACTAACTAATTTAACTGAAGGTACAGTAATATAAGGTCCAATAAGAGGGAGAAAAGATACAGCGGTGCTGTTGGTTTCTGAATTACTTGTCAACTCATTGTTCTGCATCGTTGTATTAAAGGAGTCTTGTGAGAAGATTGATGGGATTCACTTTATTTTAATCAATTCTTTGATCAGTACTGACAGCAAATATTTGAAGCTCCTTAACAAGTTGAATGAAAATGAGTTATTTTGCAAAGAATTCTTTCATTGTTCTCTGATGTGAGAATGAGCTACTTAAAATTAAGGCCATTAGCTGTGAAGCTAATGTTAGCTCAAGTAGCTTAAGTAAAACAATAAAGCTGGTACCGCACATTCAACAGGATATCAATAGGATACCTGTTAGATCTGCGAGATGCTCATTTGTTATTACACACAGCTATTAAATAGTGTATACGACTGTAAAGCCATTTTTCTTATTATTTACAGTTTTAGACAATAGAAGGAGCCAACATGGGAAACATCATACCTGTACAGGAAACAGGTGTTTCAGTGACATGTTCCATGTTCTACAGTACTTTGTACACAATACTGTGCAAAGGTTTATGTGCTAAAAGTGAAGTGAGTTGGCTTTTAAACATAATGTCATAGATGCCTCTCATTTATCAGTATACAAAATGCAGTAAACAGTAGATTATTTGGTGAGACCACCCTTTGTGATTAAAATGTCACCAAGGTCACACTTGTGCACAGTTTTTCAAGGTATTTGACAGGTACATTGTTCCAGGCGCTTTGGAGAGCTTGCCTCAGTTCTCCTGTGGGTTCAGGCTGTTTCTCTGTTTTCTGTGTCCTTTGTAATCCCAGATGGACTCCATAACTTTGAGCATCATACCATCTGTTGCAGGACTCCTTGGTCTTCTAGCAGCTGAAGATAGTTCTTTATAACTCACACTATGTGATTGGAGTTGTTGTCATGAGCTGCAGAACAAATACAGGGCCTTGATGATATTGTGAGATGGATATGGATCTAAAGATCTTAAGTGCTTAAAACTTTTTTACAGTACTGTATACCAAATCATTTTATTGCAGTCCTATAATAAAGGTCAGTTTCTCCACACAGTTTTATTTTGCTGACACATCCTGAGGTGTGGCTGTGTGATGGCTTTCTTGTTAGCAGCCAAGAGTATTTTAAAGAGATATCCATCCTCAGTCTTGAATTTGTCTGGGGTTTTGCTTTGGAATAATGTGTGTAATGGCATTGTTTTGTTTCCATTTACACCACTTTGTGATAATGCTTGGTACAGTCGCATCATGTTTAATTCTGTGCATTCCACAAATCCAAGCCTGTAGTTAAATTTACATAAGTTTTCAGTTTAAGCTTGAAAAATTGCAAGCGATATTTTTCTCAAATAATTCAGTCCTACTGTGTATGCAGTGCCTTATTACTCATTGATGGTGTTAAATAGTGCAGCTCTACATGTTGATATAATTGTCAACACTGACATAGCTCTGCTGTCCTGATTACTCCAGGTGGAAAACCCACAAGTGGAGGAAATGCCAGCTGGTGCCGTGGTCTCTCAGACAAGACAGCCCAGGTGCTCAGGAGACTTGTGGACCAGGTCTTCAAACAAGAGGTTCAGAAACCAATCTCTTCATCTCCCCTTTCCCCATGCATCTTCAACAAATCATTCCTGATCACCACAAATTAAATCTTTGCTCATTGTGGTGCATCTGGAGTTCGGCCACGCAGCGGCAGATGAATGTGCCAAGGTTTAGAGAAAAGACCAATTTAGTGAGAGCACACACCAAATCCTCACACATATAAGAAAAGACACAAACTGGAGCTGACATCCCTGGAAATCTAAACAGCTGTTTATTTTATTTTTATTTTTATTTTTTGTAATCCTCCTGGGTTTGAGAAGGGAATGTGCTCACAGCTGATCACGGTGCCTCTTGAGATTCGTTTGACAGTTTGGGGTGTTTCACTAAGGGCTTTTTCCTTTTTTTTTTTTTTTTACCTCAGGCTCTTGGCATGCAATTTTATTCAAATGTCTCTTGCTGAAATTTAGCGGATGATGCTGTGCCTTGCCTATAGCATACAGCAGCCCAACCTCCTGTTTGTATGGGCTTCACACTGTGTGTCTGTAGCACCTTTCATACATATCAAATGCTTTACAAGTGATTGATAGCATTAGCAATGTAAGGGAATAAAAGCATTCAAACCATAGCCCCATAAAATTAAAAAGAAAGTTAGAAATTATAAGACGTGACATAGAAGTTTGTCAAAACAAACAGGTTTTTAGTCCACATTTAAAAATTGCAGTATTTTCTGCTCCTCCTTGAAGGAGTTGTGACTGTCCTCTCAAAGCATATTTTGCTTTGCTTTTTTAAAAAAAATGAATGTAACCATGTAGTCCCAGGAGGCTTTCATAAAAAACCAATTTCAGGAGGTCACGCAGAATGATCAGTTTCATTATGTTCCAGCTCCTATAGATGGCCATTATTAGTATTTATATTTCTGTTTCTTCTTTGCTACCTTATGGAAAGAAGAACCAGTTTATTCATGAAAATGTTTTAAAGTCCACTTCAGATGTGTCCATTGTACTATTCTGTGCAGCTTCTCACTGATTTGATACCATGTGGCCCCTGATTTCCAGGCCCTTCTGCCCTTGTTTTCACACCTCTGCTTCTTATAAATGGCAGAAATCATTTTGTCTTTGACTTAAACCAAGCAAGACAGGCTGCCTTCTCTGCTCTGTTTCCTGCCAGTGTATTGTGCTGTTTACCTGGATGGAACCTTTTCTCAGAAGGAAGAAACACTGCAGTGGCACTGTTAAACACACAGAACAACAGAAAGCATGTGCTTCTCCTGTTCTCACACTCACACATGCACGTATATTCACACTCTCTCACAAGATAAGACCTGACCTCACACACCAACAGATGGAGGCTTTCCAAACCAATAGCAGTGCCCACGGGGGTTCAGCAAAAATGTGCTTAGAGATTGATTTCTCTCTGGAGGTACAGCCCTGCAGAATGTCTGAATCACCAGAAAATGAAATATCGCAGCAACACAAGTAATACCCTTTATTGAAAGAACAAAGAACAGGATGATGCAAGACAGGACATATTGACTTGTGGGCTACAAGCCAGTGGAGCTGAAGATGTGGTCATAATTATTATTTAGTTTTGCCATGAGATTTAATCTGAATTGGACAGTTCTGATCTATTGTTCATGAACTCTTTAGTTGCCTTCTTTCATTCCTTGTTTGATGTTATGTAGCTCTCCAGCGGTAGAAGAAGAGTTAGGACTTCTATGTGGCTCTGGAGGGGCTTCATCTGCTTTGGGGAAAGGAATAGAAAAGAAGTAGTTCCACAGTTTGAAAAAAAAGATAACTGGCTGCTAATGCTTTAGCATCATACTGTATTAAGGTATGGGATAGATATGATAGATATAGATTGTCTCATCTTTGTAAGGAAGCAGATTTCCCAAAATGCCAAGGCAAATTATTTACAGTATTTAGCACATTTTCATATACAAAGGCAGCCCAAAGCACTTAACACAATGCACACAAATACATAAAACATTAGAATGCATGTATAGGTAAAACACTAGAATGCAAATAAGATTAAAACATTAAATGCAAATTTAAAACAACAGCTACAAGACAGCACAAAGTAGCAACATGCAAGTGTAGATACCTTCCAGAGTACTTCAAATATAGCCGTGGCAAACCGTGAATTCTCACTGTCTTTCAGTTTTCCCAAGGCTAACCTCTAAGTACTTTAACATCAGGTGTACTTGTTTCAGTGTTTATCAGTCACTCAGCTAAACAGCACAATGAAGTCAATTATTCACTGAATGAAAATGGTGCAAAAATGGGTGAAATTAAGATTAACATTAATTAAAAGCTGTGGTAAAAAAGACCAGTCTTTAGTTATAAAAGTGGCTGCAGTTGGGGAGGGTCTACGTTCTAATGGGAACTATTTCTTCAAGTAAAATTAAAATGTTATGCAAGTCAAATTTAAAATGCATTTTTAACAAAAAATCCTACTAAACTGTCAAAATAATGGGAAAAAAGCACATATATACAGAATGGCTCCTATTATTGGATTATTATTATGCATAGATTCTGTAATGCGTAAGCAGTATGTAAATGTTGTTTAAACACTGTATTTATCTGCTTTAGGTTATTTATAAAATATGAATTGTCATCATAAATTAAACTCTAACACTCTTAGTAAGTAAAGTTGCAAAAGAGTTGCAGTGGTCTAAAGTGTAACATCTTCCTCTAAAAAGTATTGTAAAGCAGGGCAAGTATAATGCAAGTATATCCAAACTGTATTTACGTCCACCACTATTGTTCACGTGCTTCCTACTCTTATTGCCGTATAACTTTGCTTGCACTTTTCAGTACTGACTACCAGCCAGCCTGTTGAAACATTAAACCATGTAATGGTCTCCTACAGTAAACATGCTAATGGAGCCTTTTTGACCTGACTTCCTCTTATTCATCCAGCTGTGTCCTGCCGCCAGCTGGACGGGATGCAGGCCGACATCACAGAGTGTCTGAAATTTGCTAAGACCATGCCTACTATCACTCAGCCCTGCCAGCTCCCCTGCCAGGATGACTGCCAGCTGACCAACTGGTCCAAGTTCTCATCCTGCACAGCTGACTGTGTGGGGGTCCGCACTAGAAAGAGGGTATTGATAGGTGAGAACGAAGAGTGGCACCACATAAATGATTCAGACAAGCTTATTTGCACTGTATTTATGTGCTGGTGAGGTACCAGGCAATTTGGGGAATAATGATTGTGGGCAAAGCTCCAAGAGACTAGCATTATAGTTAAGCACAAGGTGATAAATCTGTTCAGATAGATCTTGCCAGGTAAATGCTTCAGTGGGATTAGAGCAACACATTTGAAATAAGACTTTGTTGTTCATCAGTGTATCCCCAGAGGTTTGCCCTGTACATCACAATCATAAAAGCAAAATAACAAGAATGGTGCAGTGCCTTAATGCACCACCATAAGCAGTTACTGGGGGGAAACCTTTAAACTGTTAGAAGGTGGAATTGAATGGCTTTTATTTTCCCCTGATGTGAAAGTTGAGTATATTTCACCAGTTCAGTTGAGTGTAAAAGAGCAGAGATGTGGTATAATGTATATAAGTACTCTGTGAAGAAGTGGTTAAACTGTTCTTAGCCTTAAACCAGGAGGGAGGGGGCATGGATTTTGTAGATTTCTCCAGAATCCTGGAGTTGTATCTGGGTAAAGTTATCAGCAGCATGTTAGCTATTGGTCAGTCCCTCCCAGATCCTTTTACTAGTGAAAAAGAGAAGACTGTCTGGATCATATTCATAGTCTTTGTGCAATACAAAGAAAAACCAAGGCAAAAACATTTCATGGTAAAGGTGGAGCAAAACATATTGTATACTCTTCTGCTGCCTGTTGATCACTATGACCTTTTCAAGCTGTTTATGCTACACATAAGCATGCTGCTGCTTAGATGCATAGTTCTACTGTTTGTTAGACCTTAGCTGGAATAATTGTAATTCAAATAAACAAGACGAGAGTCAAACCAGTTTAATGGAGACACTAGAACCCACAAGCAAAGATGCCATATCTCCTTCTTTGTATGAGAAACAACTCCTAATGAGTGACTGCCATGAGAGGAATGTTTCTTTGCACGTTGATCCATGATTAACGATGCTTGACATGTCTGAGGATAAAAAATGTCATGCTGTTTCAATAAAAGAGCACTCTGCTTGAAACAGTTTTGTCAGTGTAATCTATCATCAGGGGCTGTGGTCCCCCTCATGCATGCGGGATGCATGAATACAGGGACAGCAACTCCTGCATCATTAAATCTTTTTTCATTGAGCACACAATTCTAAACAAGGCCTTGAAAGTAGCCTCAGCAAATCATGAGCCACTTCAGCCTGACTGACAGAAATCCACCCACACCAGCAGACTGCTGGAGGCACTTCTCCCAAGGTGGTTTGGCTCATCTCTGTTCTTCTCCTCTCCCCAGGGAGGAGCAAGAAGAAAGACAAGTGCAAGAACACACAAATGTACCCTCTGAGTGAAACCCAGTACTGCCCCTGTGACAAGTACAACGCCCAGCCAGTGGGGAACTGGTCAGACTGCATCCTGCCTGAAGGAGGCAGAGTGGAGAGCATCCTGGGAATGAAGGTCCAGGGAGACATCAAAGAGTGTGGACAGGGCTACCGCTACCAGGCCATGGTGTGCTATGACCAAGACAACAGGCTGGTAGAGACATCACGCTGCAACAGTCATGGTGAGTCTAGGTTCTGACCTACAGCCGGGTGACAAATTAAAGGAAAAGCCCCAATAAATGAGTGGAGAAAGGGGTCACTGAACCATTTGATGAGTATGAAACTGATGTGAATCATGTGCTGCGACCTTTGCAGTCACCAGATTTAACCCTGTTGAACACCTGTGGGAGATGTTGGAGCAATGCATTAGATAGCATCTCTATCACTGTCATCAAAACACCAAATGAGGGAATATCTGTTGGAAAAATGGTGTTCATCCCTCCAGTAGAGTTCAAAGAATTGAAGAGTCAATGCCAAGGCACAGTGAAGCTGTTCTGGTGGCACGTGGTGGCCCAGCACAACACTGAGACTCTATGTTGGTTTATCCTTTAATTTGTCACTCATCTGTATCTCCTTTGAGCTGCCACTTTAGGAATATAGAGGTGAATGAATTTTGTTTGTGGTGTTGAAAGGACTGAAGGTTTAAACAGAAATATTAATACACACTGTATGTGTAATTCCTTAATAGTATAAATGGTTTACAATCTACGTGGCATGTTAATTGCAGCACTTAAAGTTGAAGATGAAATTATTTCATCCTGTTTGAGGATATTCCACTCAAAATTTCAAGAAACTTTTCCCCAGGCACGAGCAATATTACATGAAATCAATACTATGATTAGCTGTCACATTTGCCTCAGTGAACGGTATTTTATTAAATACTGTATGTGCACAAGGCCCTACATCTTCAGAGTGAACCTCATTAATTCTCTGCACAGAACAACAGACTGTAAATCAGAGATTATGACGGAGTAACCTGAGTTGACATTTTCAGTTGCTAAGAATCCATCAAGGCATTTTTTTCACTAAAGACAAAAAAAGTAATTAGAAACAATAGTTTCACATCTCATGAATTCTGCTTGGTTCTCATGCAGCTGTAGTAAATGAACCCACTCACCACAGTCTGACTGGTCATGAGTTTAATCCTCAGGTATCAGGTCTGTTTTGAGGTAAGCAGCAGCCTTCATGAAGGAAAAAATTTATTAAATGAATCCGATGTAAGTTATTTAGAAAGTAAAATGTCAGTTTTGTTGAATTTATGATTAATTTGCCTTAAGAGAAATTTGTGGTCCACATTTATTAAATGTGCGTTTGGCTCTAAATGTTACTCTCCATGGTGTTAACAAGCCAACTGGGGCTACTGAGCTGGCTTAGCACAGAACCATGTTAGCTTCCATTGGAACCACTTTTTATTGAAGAAATAGTCCAATGAAATCTGTTGACAGTTCTCCCTGTGGATTGTTCAGAGTTACATCTGACCTTTGACCCCAGATGGCAGAGGCAGCTGTGATATACAGTAAATCCACCTTAAAGAAATACAAAGTTTGGATATTGTGGACCAAATTGGATTTTTTTCCCTCTCCAGCCTTGACTCTGTTTCAGGTGAGAAATACATTGTAGCATGTGGAGATGATGCAGATGCAAGAATAACTTTTTGTTCTGTTAAATAATTGAAACAAAAGATTTTGTTTGTGCTTGTATGAGTGCCTGTCTAGAGGCTAGCAGCTCATTTTGAATCCTGAGTTTCAGGATTTATCTTAGATCCTAAATACTTCAAGCAAAGAATCTGAGCTCAGAAACTCAGTGTGAAATTGCTGTGAAATAGAATGCAGGAGATGTTCAGATGAATACATCAGTGCTGTGCAGATGTAAACATTGGTCTTAGTCTCCTTGTGAGAGTCACAAATTCAGATGCGTCAGTTAATCTGAATGTGGGTGTGACAGGAGCACATTGTAAGGAGGGGGTTATGTGTTTTTTGTTTGTGTTTGTTGGCGTCCGTGTATTTTTGCATTTCAGAAAAAGAACATCATACCAACAGTAAAATATGGTGGTGGTAGTGTGATGGTCTGGGGCTGTTTTGCTGCTTCAGGCCCTGGAAGACATGCTGTGATAAGTGGAACCATGAATTCTGCTGTGTACCAAAATATCCTGAAGGAGAATGTCCGGCCATCCGTTTGTGACCTCAAGCTGAAGCGAACTTGGGTTCTGCAGCAGGACAATGATCCAAAGCACACCAGCAAGTCCACTTCTGAATGGCTGAAGAAAAACAACATGAAGACTTTGGAGTGGCCTAGTCAAAGTCCTGACCTGAATCCAATTGAGATGCTGTGGCATGACCTTAAAAAGGCAGTTCATGCCCGAAAACCTTCCAATGTGGCTGACTTACAACAATTCTGCCAAGATGAGTGGGCCAAAATTCCTCCACAGCGCTGTGGCAGACTCATGGCAAGTTATCGAAAACGCTTGATTGCAGTTGTTGCTGCTAAGGGTGGCCCAACCAGTTATTAGGTTTAGGGGGCAAACACTTATTCACACAGGGTTTTGTAGTTTTGGATTTTGTTTTCCCTTAATAATAAAAACCTTCATTTAAAAACTGCATGATGTGTTTACTTGTGTTATCGTTGACTAATATTTAAATTTGTTTGATGATCTGAAACATTACAGTGTGACAAACATGCAAAAAGATAAGAAATCAGTAAGGGGGCAAATACTTTTTCACACCACTGTATGTCTGTGCATCCATGCACTCATCTTCAAGCATCATTGAGCTTAGAAAAAAGAAATGTTCCTTGAGGTGCACACAAAGACACTCTGAGGCTTGATGTTAGCATGTGTGACTCTCAAAGACACCATTCAATCTCTCCTTTATCCCCATCAACTCAACTCAACTCAACTTTATTTATATAGCGCTTTACCACAGCACAGCTGACCAAGGCACTTAACATATCGTACAAATATATAAAAAAGCAACACATAAAAAGCTATAAACAGTAATATAAACACTAACACTACGGACAGAGTTTCATTCCTGGTCAAACGCCAATGACAGTAATATAAACACTAACACTACGGACAGAGTTTCATTCCTGGTCAAACGCCAATGAATAGAAGTAGGTCTTCAATTAAGACTTAAAAGTGGACAGTGAGGGGGCCTGCCTAATATAAAGTGGCAAGGCATTCCATAGGTTTGGACCTATCACAGCAAAGGCTCTGTCCCCCCTAGTTTTCCGCCTGGCCCTTGGTGCCTCCAGAAGAAGCTGATCTGCTGATCTGAGGCACCGCGATGGAGTATACGGACGCAAAAGTTCCACAAGGAACCCTAAACCGCACTGGAAGCCAGTGGAGAGATGCCAGCACTGGCGTTATGTGGTCCCTCTTACGCCCCCCAACCAATAACCGAGCAGTCATTCTTTCCCCATTCTCTGCCACACCTTCCTTTATTTTCTGTAATTCCCTCATCACAGTCATCACCACTTTTAATCTTGATAGAGGAGGAGACAATGTCCTTCCACGACTCTACAGCTGACACAGTGCCCTCGGCTGTGATTAAAATCAAGCAGACTGTGCCACTGTTATCTAGATACTCCACAGACATCAACAGAAAAAAAAGGATTATCATTAAACTATGAGAGGGAATGAATATTCTAAGGGTAGATAAGGCTGATCCATTTGAGTGGAGCTCTGAGTTAGCACAATTGTAGAAAGTTGCTTTGCCCCCCACCCCCCCACCCCTCAATACAAAGACATGAACAAAAATAACTGAGTAACAATTCAACAATACTAAGAGAACATTGTAACTACACTGAATACATTGTGCCAAATGCCACAGTCCAGTCAGAGGAAAGCCTTGTAATAAATCCCAAGCTATGCATTATATATTTCACCTTATTAATTATATTAATGACTATAAGAGATGTTTGGACCTTCACCATGACTTATATTACAGGAAGGCTCAGAGAACCTTGGCCTTGTCTTAGTACTGTAGGGTGTGGGAGAGAAGGAGGGAATACCATCACTGTAGGAAGCCATAAAGGATGAAGCTGAAAGCCTAGCATATTGCTGAGGACTCAGGCAGTGCTGCAGTGATCAGATCTGTTGGCTGCATGATGACCCATAGCTTATGCTGTTTTGAGTGCTGTTTATGCTGCCTGGATGACCAGAAATAAATGATGGTCGGATCTGCTATCAGGGTATCTGTGCACCCAGGGGCCCAGGATGCTAGTGCAAAAAAGAGAGTGGGTACAAACTTCAGCATTAAAAAAAAATCCTCTTGTGATTGGTTTAATTATATTTGGTCCCAATTAACTCATTAGTTATTTTACTGAAGCATTTTGCTCTCTGTAACATTCAACATGTTTATGAAGACAAAATAAAACCAGGGGTTAATACAATGACAGTGAAAAATGGACATTAGTGTAATGAACTGCATTGTGTTATGTTGGGGCTCGTCCAGTTCTTAAACTTTCTGTGCCAAATGTGGCCACTTGTCTTACTTGTCAGAACAACTTCCACAAAATTGAAATCTCTAGAATATGACTGACTTTAAAAAGTGTCTGGGAGGAATGCCAGGGATTTCAAGACATTATGGAGCTTCAGGGAATTTAGCAAATGGATCACTGTGCAGGTGATTAATCTTCCAAACTTTTTTTGTTTGCCACATTATGTGGCTGCCTTTTATTTCTGCTTTAGTTTATCCCTGTCAAGTTTAAACATTCTGCCAACTTGCTAGAAATGCCAGTAGGTTCTTACATGTGCAAAAACAAAATAATGGTAAAGTAAGGATTAGCCTAACATGTCAAAGAAGGTGCTTTACACTTATAATGTAAAGTTTTCAAGTAAAATGTTGATCAAATTTGGCTTTATCTGGAAAGTTTGTCTGATTCTAGAGGTGTTTCAGTGCATATCCCAGGTACCGCTGGGGTTCAAGGGCTGGTTGGGCAGTGAAATCCACATTTCAGGTGAAGATGGACAGTTAGGAAAGCTCCCTACAGCACTGACAACCGCTTTGGGAACTAAAACAGAGCGTGCGCCAGGTTTCAAGCTGACTTATAAAGGAGTGATCAACAGGAGTGATCTCTGGAGTCCTGGAGTAGGTCCACAAACCTCACTGAGACCTTGGCAAGACACCTAACAAGGTTATATCAGCTGAACTACAAGTGAACGGCAGGCTGAGGTGCTGCAGCATGTGCACGGTCAGTTAACTGTAATCCACAGTGTCAGTGATTTTGAATAACTGGACTTGAATGTTGAGCCTACGATGGGAGGTCAGAGGTGATGAAGGTTATTTAAGAAGAGAAAGTGTGTGTGTGTGTGTGTGTGTGTGTGTGTGTGTGTGTGTGTGTGTGTGTGTGTGTGTGTGTGCATGAGTGCATGTGTGTGGATGGGATTATTATGTCACTGTATTTACTTCGTGTCAAAGTGCTGCCAGGACTCTAGTCCTGACTGGATTAAGCAGATTTACTTTCTAATCATAGTAGCTTACTGCTCAGTTTTTGGACCAACAGAGTGGGCAGCAAGATCACCCTTCAACTATGCGCTTCAGCTGAGCCGAGCTTTCAGACCTGCTGCACTCAAAAATGTGTTTCTTTTTACTGTATTTCTGTGCCCTATAAAAGTCCTGACTGCTGTTGGTGCTTAGTTTGTCACTAACAGGCTGTTTTCATGTTCCTCTGCTGATGGGAGTGGGTATTTATTTGCTTGTCTGAAATCAGAGTTTCAAACATGCAAACTAAATGTGTGATGACACAAAATCTGACAGCCAGCCATGGTTCACCTGTAGAGTTCAGAAGTGTGGTGAGAAACCTAAAACCAGCCAGAACTAACTTTTCAGCGACCAGGAATGGGAGTGAACATTTCATGGGGAGACGACAGTGGTGCGGTGGGTAGAGCAGTCGGTTGAGGTGGCACCGCAGATGGTTGCCATTGGTTCTGTACTGGAAACAAATTCCTTGTGTATAACATACTTGGCCAATAAAGGTGATTATCCTATCTGTTGACAGCCAATATGTTGCAGTGCACAGTTTTTGGAGCTTCTTTCCACCATTTATTTATTTACTTTTTAGCATTAGTTTATCTGAGACACATACCACTGTGGGAGTATTACGTTTGGCTCCCTGGTAGTAGCCGAACTAACAGTTAGCCTACTGATAATAACCCATATTATTATATGGGTTATTATCATACCATGTCCAATATTAGCAATATTACTGATATTATTTTGACCTGGTGATGGTGTAAATATTGAACTGCATTTTCTTTATGCTTTCTTATTATTATTATTATTGAATTAAGGTATAGTATTATAGCTCATGGAGTTGATGATGGTAATACTTTTAGTCATCAAATTATGAACCTATGTGAAAACAAAATGTACTTAATTGAAAGTTGATTTCAGTAGATCAATATTGAAATGCCACTTTGCTTAAGCAGAATAATATTAATCTATTACATTTTGCAAGACAAAATAGTCTGACCATTTTATGCTGTCATGCAAAAAAATAAAATAAAACAAAAATAAAGCAAAGGTAAAAATACTAAATGAACAATAACATACTTTGCTACAGAGAAAAGAGTATGGGTTGTATAACTATGCAGTTTTGTGAACACTTTTTGAGATTAAAAAAAAAAACTCAAGTATTACTGCTTAAGGACTGACTGGCCTTTGTGGGGTTCCTCTAAAATATACCTGTCAGTCAGTGTAGCACCGTCATGTCTAACTAAAGAGCAAAGCAGTCTGAAAGAGCCCACATCAGAAGGTGGAAGTGGTTAGGTACTCAGTGAGACACTCCGCTCTCCTGGCTCATTCACCTTATTGATTCTCTTAATCAATGGCTAAACCAATTTACAGGTCTGAGCTGCTACATAAGATGAATCAGGTTTTGTCTACTGAACAAACTCTCTCTGAGCTGGTGAAAAAATCTTTGAAAAATGTTGCTATGCACAAAGTCAAAGGTTCAGAAGAGCAGTTTCTTTAAACACATTTGACCTGTGTGTACTGGAAAAAAACAGAGGAAATCACAAACCAGAGATAGAGAACAATCCAAAAACAACACAACTAACCAGCAGACTTAGATGGTTAAAAGCTGCCCTGTTGACTGGGTTATGACCCTCTAGGCTGAATGGAAATAAAATGAAATAATGAAGTTTTCTGAGAGACTCAGCCACTGCCCTGCTAGATTTTTAGACTTTTATATCACAGATCATAAACTTGGGCCATTGAATGTGGACCCTGTTTTCATTCCAGTGGGCTGAAAATCAATAAGTGCATTTAGATAAGACTGTGAAACATTGGTTGATAGGTTTCTCTGCTCTTACAGCCAAGCTTTTTCCCCATCAAGCAGTATGGAGTTATTGAACTTTAATAGTTGTTTGTTAGATTGACAAGAAAGTCTCATTTTTGGGCGTTAAGACAAATGTAGTTTCATGTAGGAGAAAGAAAACAATATTCTTATAAAGTATTCAAGAACCAGTCAAGAACATTTTTCTCTAAGGACATTCCTCTCACCCTGTGAGGCTGGGTGTGTTAAGCTATATGAATTTAGTGTTGCATTTTGTTGTTGTTAAGCACTTTAGAACACCTGTTTTAAAAAAGCACTGTATTAATAGAAATGGCTATTGCTATAGGACTACTGTATGTTTGCTGTCTTCCTTTCAGGTTATATTGAGGAGGCATGCATCATCCCCTGTCCTTCAGACTGTAAACTCAGTGAATGGTCCAACTGGTCACGGTGCAGCAAGTCTTGTGGCAGTGGAGTTAAAGTTCGCTCCAAATGGCTCAGAGAGAAGCCGTACAACGGTGGGCGGCCGTGTCCCAAACTGGATCATATCAACCAGGTACTGAAGTGACTTATCAGTGCTCTGTGTTGAAGTATTTTGGGTTCCCATTGTTTCCTGAACATTTATGAACCAGTTTGATGCACATCATACATTTCCCACACTGGAGAAAGAGAAGGAATTATTAATTAATGAATAATAAGCTTGAGTCTGCCTAGCTTTCCTTTACCCTCCCTTCATTATTACAGCACAGTTTTTTTTTAATTATTATTCTTTGCTGAGAAGTGACAGGGCAAAAATCAGGGGGTGCTATAAATAGATCCCATCCACCATATTAATGGGATGAGATCCAGTCAATGTGTGTCACTTGGTTCCTTAGGGTTTTTTTTCCAGATTAGGGTTGTGTTGATCTGTGTCTGGCTCTGTATGTGTGTGTGTTCTTGTACTTCCTATATAGTGAGGACCAAAAGAATATTTTTTTGCTAAAGAGTGAGGACATTTTGGCTGGTCCTCACTTTCTGAAACAGCTTTTTGAGGGTTAAGACATAGTTTTAGGGTTCAGGTTAGAATTAGGTTGAGGTTAGGTGTTAGGCATTTAGTTCTGATGGATAAGGTTAGGATAAGGGGCTAGAGAATGCATTATATCGGTGAGTGTCCTTACAGAAATAGAAGTAAAAGTGTGTGTGTGTGTGTGTGTGTGTGTGTGTGTGTGTGTGTGTGTGTGTGTGTCCCTGCCACATTCACATAAATATTTCTGCCAGAGGCTTTTCTGATTATTTCCTCTTAAAATGTTGCATTAATCATAGGTTCTGCAGTATATGAACAGTTGGCATGTGCTCATTAATCCATCTGCCTCCTTTTAATCCACTCCAATGCTCGCTGGATATGACTCTTTGCTACAGGCCCAGGTAAGACCTGCTTTCCTCAGCTATTTGTAATACAGTCGCAGATGTTAAGTGTCCGTGATGTCTGTGGGTCACTGACAGATGAATGTACACAGTCACAGAATCCACACTGTAGGTAAATAAGGTACTAAGGCAGATTGGAGTATTAGTTATACAGACTTCTCAAAGATGGAGAAATAATCTCGTTGGCTAAGTTAAACCTCAGAGAGCTAAGCCAAAGAATCACTGCATATTAGGCAAAACATAACTGACAAAGTTGCTAAGGTTTATGAAAATAGACATTTTTTTCATGACTACAATGATCATGACTTACTCTTGCTCCAATCTTTCTTTTTTTTTGCTGTAAGACAATTTATTATTAAAGCTCCATTTGCTGGTTGTCCATTTTCTATGTCTATGATATTAAGAACATGGTATGAACACAGATAAGGCTTTTCTGTCTTCAGGTGTATGAAGTGGTGCCATGTCAAAGTGACTGCAATCAGTACGTGTGGGTGGCGGAGCCTTGGAGTGTGTGGAAAGTCAGCAGTGTGGACTTAAAAGAGAACTGTGGTGAAGGGGTCCAGACCAGGAAAGTCAGGTATTTATCAGCCTGTCTGTGTTTCTATTGTTTTTATGTAGTATGTAATAATTTAATTTGTGTTCAAATATGATTGTAGATTGAGTTAATCCTAAATGAATCATTTGTGTGTTTACAACTGTTGGAAGCAGTCATACCTTCACAAACTGTAACACATGTAATGTTTCGTGTTTTTGGAAAAACATCACGGTGGGGCTATATTTGTTAGGTTGGCCCATCAAACGTGGATTAGCTGATACTCCAACTCTTTCCAGGTGGAACTCGCATTGTGCTTTATGTTCTACACATGCCAAGACCTACACTGTAATTAGACTACACTGGAGTCACACACTGAGACTGTAAACAGATGGTTTGTTAGGCAAATTGTACAAAACATCATGGTGCTGTGAAAACAGTAGGTTGAAACACAACCACACGCACCCACATGCACACAACTAATCAGGTGAGCTCCATCACTGGAAGAATGGATATCAACCTCTGTATTCCTTATAACCAAGTTTAGTACCTCTCCATGATTGTTAGTCATGCAGTGCTTAAGCTGATCTGTAGCCACAAAGAATAAAAACTCTTCAGTCTTCTTCTTCAGAGCAAGTGGACTTATAAAGAGTGGCAACCAAGCCTCCTCTTTGTCTTGTCTACTGAAGTAGAAAAAGCTACCATTTGGATGAGGACAGTCTAAAAATGTGTCAGGGGAAGCCAGTTTTTGTTGTTTTTTTGTTGTTGTTTTTGTTTCATAAAATTGACATGTGTTACCAGAACACAAAGTATTGCATGAGAAATGCTCACTGTAGGTTGTCAAGTTCCTCATGTACTGACTAGCTCCATTTAAAAAAACAACATTGTTTCTCTGAGACAACCTTTGCACAACAACAGTGTATTTCTCGCTCTTTCCCACAGATGCATGCTGAACACCATAGATGGGCCATCGGAACCTGTGGAGGACTACCTATGTGATCCAGAGGAGATGCCCCTGGGGGCCAGAGAGAGCCGGCTGCCCTGCCCAGAGGACTGTGTCCTTAATGACTGGGGCGCCTGGAGCCACTGCAGCCTGGTGAGAGCTGAACCATGATCAGAAAGCAGTAGCTCAGCTATCTGGCACAGGGTAGATATGGGAAGGTCAGGCTTCTGTGAAACCCACTGAGATTTATCTTGATATCTTTTTCATGTCAGAAATATTTTCTCTGAGGCTCAAAGAATTCAGAGCAGAGCTGCACTGTATTATTGTGAGCAGTGTGTGAATCTTTGTCAACAGGTTATTTCTTGTCCACCAAGGAGGAGTAAAAGAGATATATGAACTGGGAAGCAGGAGAAATATGGCTTATATATCACCCATATTACACTGTAGTCATTGTGCATTCAGCAGGGATAGATTTATGGTAAAGACTCAGAACTCCTGAGCAGGTTTACAAATTTACATTTAGTGACATACACCTGCATATAGCAGTGGTACAGTAAACACAGCGCTGTCTGAAAATAGGAAAATATCGGTTTTGATGATCATTTGGCAAATAATCCTGAACAGTGAAAAAAGTGTTATATTTTTAGAAATATGGTCATTTATGATAAGATTTTATGGTGAACGCTAAATGATTCCAGAAATTAAGTTCAGAAATGATCATTTCAGCCTTAGTATTGTTGGAAAAATGAGTAGACCATGAGTGTTTATCTCCCCCCTACATTACCTGAGAGACCTTTTCCAGAAATATGAAGACTTTGCAAATTGAGATGAGTAAAGAGACTCTGGCTTCTGATTTCATCACAGCAGCAAAGCACACTCCTGCAGGCTACACCACATACACAATTTTTGTTCTGCTTTTTGCATAAACCTGTAAGGTGTCAGAACATCCTGTTCAGCTCCTCCACCCCGACACCTCCGATTCATGTAAAAAGCCATTTAACTGCTCTGGTTTCACCTGCTGTTCCCACAGCAGCATCCTGGCCATTGTTAATCACACCCTATTCTCTCCCAAAGTGCTTGAAACACAGACTTCCCATAATTCCGATCTCTACATAGAGTCTGCAGAGGCACCAGTAGGGCGTCTCACATGTTTTATTCATTGTGACAGCGATGGAGTTTTTCAAAAGGCTGTTATTTTCTCCCCCAACTCTCTTCTCTGCAAGCAATGATTGTATAGACTCTGGTGGTTTACTATTCCAGTAGAATATCCATTTCAGCTGTCTTGTTGTTGGGAAAAAATCAAATTCCACATTCTGGAATGCCAGGAGAGAAAGGAGAGAAAGGCCCTTTGTTTCCAACCTTATGCAGACTTTGGAAGAATGTCTTAACAAGAAATCTTAAATGAGTTGTGGCCCAATAAGATGGGGAATAATCCAGAATTCACACAGTTATCTGCTTTAGTGTTCATTAAATACAGACATCAGTACAGCAAGAGCTCTGTGGCTTAGTTCCAGTTCAGGGATGTGTCTGTAATCAGTCTCAACAATATGGACTTCTTAACCATTTAAACCTTCTAAATGCTCCAGATTTTAATGGAGATCTGTGTTTTAGCCGTGTACCAGAACCAACAGTCGAGTACGGACGGCATACACCCTGCGGTCGCCCACTGTGGGGAGGCAATGCCCAGACACGATTGATAAGGAGCCCTGCAGCCTGAACCTCAACTGTTTCAACTACTTCTACAACATCACAGGTAAAGGAAATGTCAAGAATTGTAACATGATGCCCTGTGTTCACAGAGCTGAAGGAGCAGGAGTGATTCAGCTGAATATAGGGAGATTCCCTTTGTTCAGTCTCTCATGAACAGCTTGTGCCAAAGTCTTGCATGGGTCCAGTTTTAAAAACCCGCAGCCACAAAACTCTGTTACCCAGAGTTATTTCTAAATGAAATCTGGACCCGACCCAAGCCATTAACATAAGACCCACAACTTGACCTGTACCCGTAATTAAAATAGACTTTAAGCTACACAGTCACTTACTTTAAAGTGCAAGAGAATTGTGTTCTTGGAAAAGTAGGCTAATTGTCGATGGACACAGCACCTGGACTCTGCAGCTGTTCTCTTAGCAAGGAAGTGCCTAGCTTGCGGCTACCAAATGCTAACACTTTTGCCACTATTTACAGGTAGCAAAGCCACTGACACCTGTCCTAGGCTGATGTCTGAGTGACATCCCATAAGCTGGATGTGATTTGAGGGTACAAAGGTTGTGCCTTCACAATAAATGTATCAGTTGTTTAGGTTTGATAAAATTATGCTGGATTAGATGTTTAAAAGAAGCTGCACCTTTATTTAGGTATTTATCTTTAAATTTTAATTATATTTACAGTATTTTACTCTTTACCTGCCTGCATTGTTTGTTTTTACCTGTGCCTTTTCTTGTGAATGTGCTCGTGGGGATGGCTGTGGCTTATGAGGTAGGGCAGTCGTCTTCTGACCAGCAAGTTGGTGGTTCGTCTCCCCGCATGCCTAAGTGTCCCTGAGCAAGACACTGAACCCCAAATTGCTCCCGGTGGTTCGACTGGCGCCAGTGTGCGGCAGCCTCTCGTCGTGTGTGTGAATGTGTATGATCTCCTGTAAAGCGCTTTGGCCAGTGTAACACACAGTGTGAAACATGTGCTATATAAATACAGTCCATTTACCATAAGCATAGTTTTTTACCCATTACACATCATTTTATGTGGATACCCGACTCTAGCTAGTGCTACTGTACATGTGTACTTATGTGTTGTATTTTGGATGGACCAGGTCTTTGGGTGTGTCCAGTTTAGCATTTCTCACCTTTAACCAATTCACCAATATGAAAACAGCTCTTGCAATGGGAGCTTTTTAACATCACTGCAAATAGCCTCAGTTTCTGAGTGAGCTTCCCATTTGTTTTCACAGCAGTACAAGTGATCTCTAACGAACTCATCTGTTTGTTATTTTCAACAGCCTTATCACTTTTTTCTTCGGGTAAGATAATTGCAAACCTTGCATGGTTTTAGTGAACCTTGTGTTGTATAATGGTGATGTAACGTTAATGAAGCTCTTCTCACAGCTGTTCTTTGCAAAGCTCCTGTTTGTTGGTCACAGACAAAGTTTTTAGCTCCACTTTTCAAGGGAAGGTTGAATGGGTTCCCTGAGATTACAACCATTAAAGTCTGGCAGATGCTAAGTACAAGAAAAAGGTTTGGCTGGTGGCTGCTATGGCTTAAGTGCCTTGCTCAGTGGCACTTCTGTAGTGTTTGCTGAGAACAGAGAAGACTGTTTTGATTTGCTTTAAACAGATCGATTCCCAAGCCTCCTCAGAGCTGGCAGTCTTCCAGAGCTCTCCCCTCTAATCTGCACTTCCATGTCACGCACCACAAAGGCTACTCTTTCACATTTCATACTGGAAACCGTAACAAACCCTTTCAATATAAATGAGCTGAAAAGGAGATTGGCAGTATTCCAGCATTTCATCTGTTCAAATTTTTGTTGTGTTACTTTTATTGCTGTTGTCCCACATCGTCAACTAGCCCACCCTCCTCCTCTGTCTTGCCTTTATGTTGTTACATTGAGAGACATGACATATCATCCCTGCTGCTGCATTCACAGTGGCATACAGGAATCCCAGGGTATATGTGCATAATATAAGAGCAGAGATTATTACTGGGTAAAATGCTTTGTTTTTCACAGTTGATTCCAAGACCATCCAAGCTGCTCCTTCCTTCACAGTTTCTCTCTCGCTCTCTGCCTTTCTGTGTCTTACTGTCGCTCTTTCTTGTTGCAGTCTCCCTATTTTCAGTCTCCAGAGTGGCACAAAGCTCCTCAGAAGAAGGAGACACAATTCCCTGGGCTGAGCAGGCAAATGAGCTCGCTGCAGCTAAAAACAGCCACTCATCTTTGTCAGCAGATGGCATATTTCATGAGTGATCCCTCAGCCTTCCTGTTATTGCAGAGTGTTTTTAACAGCATACAATCTGTGCTTTTAAAGGCACTGGCACTCTTAGTCTGGAATAAAATGTTATCTTTTCTGTGCACAGAAATCATTTGTGGGAGGCCGAAGTTCAGCCTCTTACAACCCCGAATTTTTCTGGAGAGGTTTATTGGGGAAAGTGATACAGTACTGTGAATGTTCCCCCTGTGCCTGTGTGGGTTCTCTCTGGGTACTCCGGCTTCCTCCCACAACCCAAAGACATGCAGCGTAGGTTGACTGGTGACTCTAAATTGCCCGTAGGAGTGAGTGTGGGTGTGTGGTTGTTTGTCTACATGTCAGCCCTGTGATAGACTGGCGATCTGTCCAGGGTGGACTCCGCCTCTCACCCAATGTCAGCTGGGATTGGCTCCAGCCCCCCATGACCCTGTTCAGGAATAAGCAATATAAATAATGGATGGATGGATACAGACAGTACTGATGTTACATTTAAATCCTGGTTACTTTTCAAAAGAGAATCTGGCCCCACAGCTTGGTTATGGGGCTGACATAAAAGGATACTAATGGCAACCAGATTCATTGGATTCAAGTGAGTTGTTTTAAGCCTTCAATGACCTCTTTGCTGACAAAGTAATCATCTGTTATTGACAGTGATCTTCACCAGCCAGAAGCTATTTAGAGTCTGACTCCAGACAACAACAAAAAAAGCACACATTGACTGTTTCAGTGCTTCTTGAATCTTGTGCCATGACATGTGTCATGCAGCAACAGTAATGAGCTGAAATCAAGCTTACAGTATGCCCGCCTTTCTACTGACTCACCTGGGAATCCAAAGTGGTTCATTTGTATGCATGGCACGTCCATTGAAGTGCAGTGCACTGAAGGCGTAAGAATTTTAATTTATGTCAGTAAAGTAGCTGGTAATGAATTTGATAGTGTTGCACTGTGTCAGTGTATCTTATGAAAATCTACAAATTAACTGAAATTTTACATAAAAATCCTGGTCTATGCATCCTGGGATACACTGTATAGCAGTAGATAAAACCAACCAACTTCCAAAGTAGCATGAGGCGCCATGGTGCAACACTGCATTTCTGTGTTCACCCTCAAAAAGCTAAGGCACACCACGGTTGTTTCTGTGTAAAGTGTAAAGAATCACTTTAAATGCTTCAGCTGTGACAGCTGAAGCATTTGAACACTTTTGAACAGCGTCTCCTTGTGTTTTGTCCCAGCACATCATCCCATATCAACTGAGAAAACATCCAACTACAGAAGCAGAACACTAGTGAAATGCTGTTTCCTTGTGACATGACTACAACCGCCTCTCCTT